AGCATTTAACCCCCGTACAATGGTTTCAATTAACCCACTCTCCCCATGGGTTTACAAACCCAGGCACTGGGTTACCCTTCCCACAGACATATTTGTCCTTCTCTCTCTTCAGCCACTCATCCCTCTCTATTTCTTCTGAGCGGCTGAGCTCGTCTTCAATCAACCGACGTCCAGGCCGCCATCACAGCTACCACTGCCCTTTGGATTGTCAAGTTCCGTGTTTCTCAACCTCACAAAACCACTCAATCTTAACTTGCGAGATTCGATTTTCACATTTTGATGTATATTGAGCTTTGAAAGTTTATTTGGCGAAGGGGAGAAGAGCTCGATGGGTGGTGGTAGGCAGGAGGAGAAAGATGGGAGTGAAGGTGGAGGTGGTGGTGGTGGGGGGAGAGATGGGGCGATGAGTTCTGGTGGCGGTGGTGGTGCAGATCGTCAATGGCTTCTGGGTTGTTCTGGCTGCTGGGTTTGAGAGATTTATCTAGGAAGAATTATACTTAGATCCCTTAAAATTTGTCGTTTAATTATTCAGACATCTGATATTTAAAATATTAAACATAAATTCCCTCAAGTTTATACGTGCGTAATACTTAAATCTCTCAAGATAAATATATTCATTAAAAATTACACTTAAATCCTTTTAAAGTTTATAGTAGGTATATAATATTCGGACCCCTAAAATTTAAAATATTATATTTAGACAAAAAATATTTCAATCAAAGATAAAATATTAANGAAAAAATTATACTTAGATCCCTTAAAATTTGTCGCTTAATTATTCAGACATCTGATATTTAAAATATTAAACATAAATTCCCTCAAGTTTATACGTGCGTAATACTTAAATCTCTCAAGATAAATATATTCATTAAAAATTACACTTAAATCCTTTTAAAGTTTATAGTAGGTATATAATATTCGGACCCCTAAAATTTAAAATATTATATTTAGACAAAAAATATTTCAATTAAAGATAAAATATTAAATATTATTTTACAATCAAAATTCATATTCTATTGTATTATTTATTGAAATAAAATTAAAATTAAAATTAAAATTTTTTTCTTAAAAAATTGTAATTAATATATAATTATCCTATCTATTGAAATAAAACTAAAAAAATTAAAAAATAGGTCTAAATCATATATAATTTTTATATGTTTTTAAGTATATGTGAAAAATGTATAANTAAATTGAAATAAAACTAAAAAATTAAAAAATGGGTCTAAATAATATATAATTTTTATATGTTTTTAAGTATATGTGAAAAATGTATAATTTTATTAGGATAATCCACCGATCCAAACATATTAAGGCAAGATTCTACGTCTTTCTCCCATTATAATCAATTTTTAAGAACAGAAATAAAGTGTTGATTTGTTTGAAAAAAAAATACCAAAATATATATAAATATAACTTTCCTTATTTTTATATGTTTTTATGTATATGTGAAAAATGTATAATTTTATTAGGCTTGGATGAGTTAACCAAACATAGGACAGGGTTGGTTTGGATAGGAATGTATAGAGTAATGGATAAAATGATAAATTACTATAAAATTATTTATATAATCTGTGAGACCCACTAAATTATACATTTGTTTCCCAAACAAAACAAAAGTTAGGATTTGATATAATTTTGGGTTAGAGTTTTAAAGTGGATGAGTGAGTTTGGTTTAGATTGGTTAGGATATAAAAAAAAGAAAAGAAAACCTACCTTATTCCATCCCATTACCCAAACACACCCTTAGGTGGTGTTTNGAGTTAACCAAACATAGGACAGGGTTGGTTTGGATAGGAATGGATAGAGTAATGGGTAAAATGATAAATTACTATAAAATTATTTATATAATCTGTGAGACCCACTAAATTATACATTTGTTTCCCAAACAAAACAAAAGTTAGGATTTGATATAATTTTGGGTTAGAGTTTTAAAGTGGATGAGTGAGTTTGGTTTAGATTGGTTAGGATATAAAAAAAAGAAAAGAAAACCTACCTTATTCCATCCCATTACCCAAACACACCCTTAGGTGGTGTTTGGATCATCATGGGAAGATTGGATTTGAATCCGACTCAATCCTACCCAATGCAAAGTGGTTTGGATTAGAGGATTATAAGGATAGGATTCAAATTCTATCCCATCTTTAGATAGGTTTCATTTGGTTTGTGGGCCCCATTCACAATTGATGGAATAACATACTCAAATGACCATTTCACCCTTGTGTAAAAAAATGTTATCTAATCCTATATTATGTTTGTTATGGAATGAAAAAAAGATCAAATCAATGAGTATTGTCTTATTTACGAAAAAAAAAAATATNAGGATTCAAATTCTATCCCATCTTTAGATAGGTTTCATTTGGTTTGTAGGCCCCATTCACAATTGATGGAATAACATACTCAAATGACCATTTCACCCTTGTGTAAAAAAATGTTATCTAATCCTATATTATGTTTGTTATGGAATGAAAAAAAGATCAAATCAATGAGTATTGTCTTATTTACGAAAAAAAAAAATATGAATCAATACCTTACGCATTTTTACAAAAGATTGCAATAAATATTTTGTTTATTTATTTAATTTAATTTAATTTGTACAATTCACTTTTAATCACAATTTTCTTTTCAATAAATAGCAAAATTAATTCGAACTCAATCCAAAAAATTTTCAATGACCCAAATCCAATTTATTTTTCATGAATTTTAGAGCATTTTAATATTATTGCTTGAATTAATAGTAAAAATCAGGTCAATTTAAAATATGCTACTTTAATTAAAAAGTTAATTTTTTTTGCATTGTATAAAATGAAAAAAAACCTGAGAGTTATGTGCTAATTTATGAACATAAGGGGTAAAGTGCAAAAAAATCGAATTGAGGGGATATAAAGTGGATTTTAATGTGGTTAATTGCTCATCTTCTCCACAGATGCTTCGGCTTCGATCACAAACAGAGAGAAAGAGTGAGATGGAGAGAAAGAAAAGCTTCTGAAAAAATTTATCTTCTTCCCTCTCTATCTTCCCAAACAAATCGAGATGAGTTACCGTGGAGATCATCTATATTTTCTTCCCAAACAAATGGAGGTTGCAGACTGAAAATTTTACCCAGATCTGCACAGTGAAACTATGCACAGATCTGATACTTCCATGAAAAATTAGAGCCCATGTGAAGCTTCAAAGATCGATACACGTAGGTAAATATTTACTATGGAGGGTATTTTTGATTTTTCATATGCAATCCCACTTCACATTTTTGAATCCCCCACAGCATAAGGGATTGTTCAATGGCTTATAGATGGGATTGAACGCTTCAAAACCTACGGTCCGAGGAATTCAAATCCTAATCCAATCTCATGCCAAAAAATTACCCAAACCAGGAATAAGTANGGGATTGAACGCTTCAAAACCTACGGCCCGAGAAATTCAAATCCTAATCCAATCTCATGCCAAAAAATTACCCAAACCAGGAATAAGTAGACCCATTCACAATTTTAATCCAATCCCCCCTATAATCCCCCTCAATCCTTTTATCCAAACACCACCTTAGGGTATAAATTATAATGGGAAATTTGAAATCTCTTGACATTAGAAATACTATACACAAATTTTCTAACATTTGAAATACTATACACAAATTCCTTGACATTTAAAATATTATACACAAATTTCCTGAAATTTATATGTTTATAACACTTAGGTCCCTGCTTTTATATTCAAATCCCCTAAAGTTTATAAACATATACCACTTAGACCTCTTTTGTTTGAAATATTATATTTAAGAATTAACAGAATCTATTAAACGACTAAATTATCTCAATTAAGATAGAAGATATTATTTGAATTACAGTTTGACCACTTTTTTAATTTTTTTAATTTTATTTCAATAAAAAATATAATTGTATGCAAAAGATATTGAATTGAGTTATTTGATGTATATATACTGATTATTATTTTTTCTCAAAAAATTAGGATTTTGTTTGAATTTTATATCAATGAATGATATAATGGAACATGCAAATGTATTGGCTTATTTCATATGTTCGTGCTTGATGATGAAAAAATTGACCCAATATGAAAAATTCATTTAGTCCAAGATACTCTAGGTATGTCACTCATAACTTCTAAACTCAGTTCATAACTTTGAATCACTTACTGATTTAGGCATGGGAGAGTCGACCCTTGAAGCTCTCATTCGATCTTCGACTTTTATTTTTGGTGGTCAAAGTCCAACAAACTAACGTAGAGGTCATTCAAATTTGGACATCAACAGTACTAATTATGATTTTTTTTATGAAAAATTTAAAATTTTATTTTTGACTATATTTTTTATAAATGACATAATAGAACATGACTTTTGGTTGTAAAATTTAAAATTTTTGATATTCTTTCTTTAATTGGAGTATTTTTTATATAAGTATAATATTTTAAACTTAAATAATCTAAATATTACACATTTTAAATTTAAGGGGTTTAGATACAATTTAATAATAGATATAATAATGGATATTAATAGTAAGGTCTATGTGTTACACGTTTACAAACTTATGAAAATTCTTATTTAATATTTTAAATATTAGGTGAATTAGGTGATTATGTGTCAAATTTTAAACGGCTTCAGTGTAATTGTCTCAATTGTAATTTAAAGGTTAAATAACTGTTTCTAAACTTTAAAAAGCAGAACTCTCGCTCGCTCTCTGATCTGCTCTGTATTACTCTGTTCTTCACGAAGATTGTTGGAAGAACTGGTATTCGGAGGTGCTCCGCCACTGGTGGCTGCGTTCTTGGCTGTTGTCGGTGGTTTGGATTGTGAAGTAGGGTTTCTTGATTTCTTGGTGTCAGAGTAACGTTTGGGTCCAACTGTCATGACAGAATAACGAGTGGAAAGTGAGTGGGATTGTTAAAGGCTCGTGCAGACGAGATAAAAGATATATCTAAGCACTCTCTGTCCCTCTCTCAACCTGGCTCTGCGTTCTTCAAGGAATCTTGATAAGCGTCATAGTCTTCTATTTGAGCAGCGATTCTGGTGTGTATAGAGGCTCGAGTGTGGTGTACGAGAGCTGAGTTTTCGTAGCGAACGCATGCGTCTTTGATGAGTTTAGGGCTTCGGTTTGGTTTCTTTGGCCAAGAGCAGCAAGCGCCCGCTCACATTCAGAATTGATCGCATCCTTGTCGATTTGTTCTGCATTACTTGGTTCTTCACCAAGATTGTCGGAAGAACTGCTATTCGGAGGTGCTCCGCCACTAGAGGTTGCATTCTTGGCCGTCGACGGTAGTTTGGATTGTGAAGGAGGGTTTCTTGGTGTCGGAGTAACGTTGGGGTGAACTGTAATAACAGACTAACGACGACCATGGCAAATGAGGTGAGTCTGTTTCTATCTGCATGGAGACTAATCCATCTTGGAGGCATGCATGCATGGTCCAATTCTATAAAGAATAAAATACATGCCATTATTATTTTGCATTCTAAAGTGTCGATCTAAAACCTGGTGATTTTGATTTATTAATAGATTATGCAATGCATTTGCTTCGTTGCTACAGCTAACCTTTTAGAAAGGCAGATAAAAGTCACAAAGTGTTTTTTTAATTATTAGGTACAATTTTCTCCTTAAACCTTGCTCTATATTTTTTTTAGGGTATTAATGACCAAACTCAACTTAACTCAAGGAATGATTATCCCAAACTAATGGTATTAATGACATTGCTTAGAGAAGAATTAATATATCATAATGTGATCAAGTGTGACTAGAAATATTTTAAGAATTATTTATATTATATATCTATATTCATATCTATGCTACTTATAAATGTTAGTATCTATAAAAAAAATTGTGNTTAAATTTCATGATTTATGGATAATTGTTTCTTTACTTATGTTACCTCTATTATGTGTCCTAATTAATTTGATCTGTTTGTGTTGGTCACTTGAGATTCACCTATTTAAAAGGATATTAACTTGAAGCTTTTCGTTTAATGTATACTTACCTTAACCAGGGCTTTTCACTCCCAAAAAAATTCGAGGGCACCTTCTTGTTAGTCTATCCATCCATGTATCATTTTAAAAAACTTTTAACACTAATTATAAGGTATATGTACAAAAAATGATTGATTAAGTACAATGTGAATAATACAAATTATGTGAGGATATATTTTGTTTCTTATTGTATTGAGAAAAATTAAAATCCTCGGATTACAAGTATTTGAATAAAAAAATATTATTTTACTTTGAGAGTTTTCTGAAAATAGGATCCTTTTTTTTTTTGGGACATCGATAGATTAGATTGTTTTCTGAATTAAAAAACATGAAAGAAGTTTAACAAATAGCAACTAATGCTATAGTTGAAACACTAAACTATATAAAAGTATATGACATTGCTTAGAGAAGAATTAATATATCATAATGTGATCAAGTGTGACTAGAAATATTTTAAGAATTATTTATATTATATATCTATATTCATATCTATGCTACTTATAAATGTTAGTATCTATAAAAAAAATTGTGATTTTCTATTTTATTCTCATTTATTTTAATAAAGTCAATTAACCCACGTGTATATACTTTCGTCTAATTTTTGTTCTCTATATCTATTTGACTTTCAACTTCTTTTAGACTCTTTCCTAAGTAGTATTCAATTTTCAAATTCATTTGAACTCATTTAGCTGTAGTATATCCCCTGCACAATTTCCTATATTTATGTCTATATCTATATGAGGAAATAAAATCTTATCCATGTATATTATCGTTTATATGTAATTACCAGATTGTTTCCACGATCAAATATACGTTGTATTTGATTTTTTGGTATGTAATAATATAATTATATTATAAGTCAGACAATAATTTTATAATTTGATCAATTTATACGATAAAAAATTAATAAGTCAATAATATAATTAAATGTGCAGTTGTCTAAAGGGGTTAAAAAAATACCTAGATAAATGAAAATTTAAGTACTCAAACAATGGTAGAATAGATCAATAACTCGGTTTAACAATAATTAAGATAGTAATTAATTATTTAACACCTAATTTATTATTTAATTACACATATAATTCATATTTTTTTATAAAAAATTATTATTTTAAATTTATTTTACGTTTAACGCATGTCATGCATTATTAATATATTCAAAAATATATACTAGCACCATTGCTAAAAGTGAAATTGGTAACAAATTAACGACAAAAAATGCCCAATGGGTAACTTTGCATCTCAAAAGTGAGATAAATTAAATGAAATTGTAATTATATTATTTAGATATTGATATTAAGTTTTGAAATGATTCTATGTAGTGATTCAGCGAGTCAAACTTTTAAGTCAATTTTTAAATCTATTTAACATTTTCCTAGTTTTTCGACAATCATTCCGAAGCCGCTTAACTTGATGACACAATGTTTAAGGGCAGAACATTGATGTTATAAAGAGGAAGCCCTTTTGCATTAAGTATAAANAGTTTTTAAATCTATTTAACATTTTCCTAGTTTTTCGACAATCATTCCGAAGCCGCTTAACTTGATGACACAATATTTAAGGGCAGAACATTGATGTTATAAAGAGGAAGCCCTTTTGCATTAAGTATAAATATTTTACATTATTGAATTTACATCCCCTGTATACTTGAGTTTCAGTTGAGTTGGACTATTTACATCCGATAATTAATAAGAAAGAACTATTCAGAATTTATGAAAAATGTCGATAAACAGGGGGACACAAAAGTTCTAGACAAATTTATTTTTAGAATTTGACTTTACTATTCAAAATTTACTAGAATCATATCATTTTGGTGAAGGTGACAATTTTGGACACGATAACACGACCCTACATTGTTCGATTGCTACTCATACTTTTTTGGCATTCAACACATGCATGATGAGAAATACATTTATGTGCATAATTAGGTTAAACTCGTCATTATTGTATCTTAACAAAAACACAAATTGATATTATTTCATTGTTCATGCAGTTGACGTTCATATTCATTTTGTCACTTCTTCTCACACCTTCCATGGGGCAACTGCAACGTTTCAAATTAGTACTTCAGTGGCCCAACTCTTTTTGCAATAATCCGTGTGAAAGGGGAGTTTGTAGCCAACCAGTGCCGCAACGGTTCACCATACACGGTCTTTGGCCATATGATAAAGATGACAACATACTACCTCGCTCTATAGGGTTTTTGCTAAATAGACAAGATGTAAGTAGATTTACAAAATAAAGTTTGTTGATTACATTCTTTGTGTATGGCTCTTGTATTATGGTATTACATTATGATAATGTTTGATCTTCACTCTTGTTGCTGATAAATATCTCGGCACTGGGGTTTTTTTTGTTAAATATAAATTGAGATTAAAAGGAAAAGTGAGTACAAGATATATAATGATGTACCAAGGCTCGATATACACCTGAAGTCCTTGCATACTAATTTTTAGGCTAGTCTATAAAGTATAAACATAAGAGCTCATAGAGACTAGAACCATCATTTGCGTCTTCTCATGACAAACCTGTCATAATTGTTTTGTCTACCTTAATTGAGATGCAAATCACGAGTACTATTCTTGGTGTTAATATTAATTGTTTGTAACCTGTCATCATTTGCGTCTTCTCATGACAAACCTGTCATTAACTGTCGTTACCATCCTCCAAGCCGAGTGAAGCCAATCACAAAGAAAACGGGTCCTAAATCTCAACGGCCACCACCTCCTCCGAAAGTTTTTCAAGTCGGCACATGCTACAATATCCCCGAGATTCAATATCCAGGGGAGTACGTCCCCCAACACCAATTTAGCCGTGCTACTGTGCTCCTTGGGGTGACTCCTGGGACAATTTTCTTTATCGTTTTTCTATAGTAATATGGATCTAATAGGATTTATGAAGCAGTTGTTGTTGACTGATGTTTGAATAAGTGGCTACTTTTTCTGTGATGGGATGCACCATTTGATTGTTCCAATGGCAAGGAAATCCTGTTGGTCTGCAATAAAGAATAAACTATTGTGTTCTTGGTTAATTGTGATTTTGCTGAACTTCATATTTGAATCTGGCCAAGCATTACTTTGCTTTGCTTTGTTGGTTTCTTGTTTTGCTTTTTTCTATACTCCCAATAAGATCAATCTCTAGATCACATAAAGTTTTTGGAATGGAACTATTGCGTTGGCACACAATTTCTTTTGCTAATTAAGATAAGGTTACATGGAGAAGTAATACAAAAAAGAAGTCTATTCAAGATAGATATCTTCCGTGTTCATCAATCACACAGTTTATCACAGATGTAGGCAAATCTGCAGCAGCTAAGTCCCAGCGGCTTATAAGAAAATGTAAATGGATCGATGGCGAATTTACGAGTCCAAGGTAGTCGGCCAGCTCCAATCTTCTCCATCATCCAAACCTCAAACGATTTACCCTCCACCCCTTGGAAAAAAAAAAACCACAGCAAGTGATCCGTCCAACATTGAAAGAGTATGATCGTCTCTTTTATAATAAATTGAAAGAGGATGATTCTCTCTTCTAGAAAAAACTGTCATTGGTGTAACACGACACTCCTCACTATTCATGTCAAAGGAAATAATGATTGGATCACCATTGCAACAGCCCGACCAGTGAAACTCCCCCCATTCACATGTAATGTGCATTCNTATTAGGAAAGTAATGTTCCCAAAATCCAGCGGTTAAACCTTATCACTGTGTACCTAATTAATGTTAAGATACATACCTAAAACCATTTTTAGAAAAATAAATTTTAAAAAATGGGCAGTTAAGTCTTTTGTATCTCAACAGTATACTTCTTTACAACACGTTTTTTTATATGTATTTTTTTACAATTATGTATAATTTAATGTATTGGCTTCTAAAGGACCCTAAAATAATCAACTCAAAAATAACTCATTACTCCCCCCCCCCCCCC